CAGGCCATGGTTTTTGCAATCACTTGTTATGCATCAGAGAGTTGGACAATGACTAGGGAGGATAGAAGGAGAATTGACGCCTTTGAGCTGTGGTGCTGGAGAAGAGTACTGAGTGTACCATGGACTGCCAAGAAAACAAACAGATTCATCCAAGAGAGGGTTAAACCAGGCTGCTCCTTGGAGGCAAGGATTCTGGGGCTTCGCTTGACATACTTTGGACATGTTGTAAGGAGAGACAGGTCTTTGGAGAGGGACATCATGCTGGGCAGAGTGGAGGGACAGTGGAGGAGGGGAAGACCCTCTATGAGATGGATTGATTCAGTGACTGGGGTAATCGGGATGGGTGTGTCAGAGGCAATGAGATTGGCACAGGATAGAGCAGGGTTTAGGGCTGTTGTACATAGGGTCGCTATGAGTCGCAAACGACTCGACGGCACATAACAACAACAACAACAACATTGCTACACACACACTTCTCTGACCACTGACCTCTGCTGTTCTCCTTGCTATTGTGAATAATGCTCCTACAAACATTGGTGTACAAATCTCTGTTTGTGTTTCAGTTCTATTTTGCTTGAGGTAGCAGGCCTCTGAAAACCCTATGTACAATGACCAGGGAGAATAGAAGGAGAATTGATGCCTTTGAGCTGTGGTGCTGGAGAAGAGTATTGAGAATACCACGGACTGCTAGGAAAACAAACAGATTTGTCCTGGAAAGGGTTAAACCGGGTGGCTCCTTGGAGGCAAGGATTCTGAGGCTCCGTCTAACATACTTTGGACATGTTGTGAGGAGGGACCGGTCCCTGGAAAGGGATATCATGCTTGGGAGGGTGGAGGGACAGCGCAGGAGAGGAAGGCCCTCTATGAGGTGGATTGATTCAGTGACTGGGATAATTGGGATGGGAGTGTTAGAGAGAGTGCGATTGGCACAGGACAGAGCGGAGTTTAGGGCTATTCCCAGCAGTGGTATAAATGGGTCACATGGGATTTCTAGGTCTAGCTTTTTTTTTTTTAAATGTCCAGCTTTTGGAGGAAATGCCAAACTGCCTTCCAGAGTGGTTGTACCATTTTACAACCCACCAACAAGAGTTCTAAAGTCTCCACCCCCTCTCCAGCATTTATTGTTTGCTTTATATTTATTGTTAAATTGTTGCTGAACTGTATTTCTTTTGTTGTTGCTTTTGAGACCACATGCAGCAAAACATACACCAACCCAACAGTTTATTCATGTACAACTTAGTGATGCCAAACAGATGACTGAATATTTATAATATTAGCGATTTAGGAGTTTGTTCAGAGACCTAAAAGAAATACTATTTAGTATTTTTTTTATTTATGAATTGGTTATTCCCTTTTTAAAATTATTCATGTATTTTTCTCCCTAAAGGCCAAGGATTACATTTATACTACCTTTCCCATTCTGAATTCTGAGGGGAGTGTTTTCTTGCTACAATTCTATTTTTGTTGTTGTTTGGTGCAGTCGAGTCCTCTTAGACTCTCAGTGGCCCCACATGAGATTGAAGCCTTGCCCTGTCCTGTGCCACCTTCTTTATTCCCGCCACACTCTAGTCCATAGTTGGCGCTCATTATAGCCATGTGTCTCTAGAAGGGTTTTCCTCTCTTTCACTGGCTCTCACTTTTCCCAGCATGTCTGTTTCCTTCCGATAAAATGCCCAAAGTATGTGAGACAAAGTTTCACCATCACTTTTAGGGACACTTAAGAGTTGCTCTTTGGAGGCAAGAATTTTGAGGCTCCGTCTCACATTCTTTGGGCACATGGCCAGGAGGCACCAGTCCTTGTACAAGAACATCATACTCGGAAGGGTGGAGGGACAGCCAAGGAGAAGACCCTGTATGAGATTAATTGATATAGTGACTGGGGCAATGAGGGTAGGTGTGTTGGAGTCAGTGAAACTGGCTCAGGACAGGGCAGACTTTAGAGCAGTTGTACATAGGGTTGCTATTAGTCACAGGCAACTCAACAGCACATAAGAACAACAACATTAACTTCCCTTTAGTTTTAGGGTAACTAGATATATGTTGGTAAATGCTCTAGGAATGCAAAATAGTTGCATTCTAGCCTAAGAAGAATATAATTTTTTTTATTTGAGAAGTCAAAAATTTATAATCAAGATTAATAACCAAGTATGGTCAAGACAGCTCCCTAAATGTGCATGCAGGCACCTTAACGTCGAGCCTTGTGGCTCATAAGTGTGTCCCATGTTCTTATTCCTGCCAAAAGAGTTCTCAGTCCTGCCAGTATTGACTGTCTACCCAACTGTCCAACAAAATTCTCAGTCCTGCCCATATTGGCTTCCCTTCTTCCAAAAGTCCCATCTCACATGAAGAAAAATATAATTTTTAAAAAACAAACTCAAACTCATTGCCTTCTAGTCAAAACTAACAGATAACTCTCCAGCAGATTTTCAGAGGCTGTAAATCACACAGAAGGAGATTGTCCATCTTTCTCAGAACTTCTGGGAGATTCAAAACACCTACCTTTGGATTTGCAGCACAACATCCTAACCCCTGGGCTACCAGAGCTCCAGAAAACATAGTTGTTGTTGTATGCTATCAAGTCAGAACTGATAGTTAATTTCTGGGAAAAGAAACATTGAATTCTACAATTAAATATTGAAAAACTTTTGGCTATCAGTTCTCTGGCATATCCAGCACCACTGTTACTTTCTTTTAGTACATAAACTTAACATTTGACCAAAATAACATTGTTTGATTACAACAAACGTAAAAGCAAGAGCCAAAGAATTTTCCTAGATTTTGTCCTCTATTGATGACCCCATACTAACTGCTTCTTCCCCATTCTTCTCTTTAAAAACAGAACAAGAGTTTTTTAAAGATAAATTGGTAATACTGTGGCACTTAGATTAAAAATGTCATTTTACTATAAATTGTTATCGTTATTGTTGTATATATCAGAGTATAAATTTCTTACCATCATAGAACATATTATTCATTTTTATATCCTCTGCACACTCGTAAGAGTGTCTTGAGTAGATTAGGTGTGCAATAGATGTTTACTGTAGAATAGAATCAGATACTACAAATTGAATCCACCTCAGGAAAATTAAAGTGAGGGAATAAAAGCAAGAACTAATAGAAACCATGTTATATATTTAGTTCCTCTTCAGTTTTACTGAACTAAGGAGGAACTAAATATATACTGTAGTTTACTAATACTATAGTAATATTGTGGTTTATGTAGTTGTTGTTGTTACGTTCCATCGAGTCACCTGTAAGTCATAGTGACCCTATGTACAGTAGCTCTGAATTCTGCCCTCTCCTGAGCCAGTCTCACTATCTCCTACACACCTACCCATATTACTCCAGTTACTGTGTCAATCCATCTAATAAGGGGTCTTCCTCTCCTGTGCTGTCCCTTCACCCTTCCAAGCATGATGTCCTTCTCCAAAGACTGATCCCTCTTGACCGTGTGTCCAAAGTATGTGAGATAGAGCTTCAAATCCCTTACCTTTAAACAAGCAGTTTTGTTTCACCCTCTCTAAGACAGACCTGTTTGTTCTCTTGGTGGTCCGTGGTACATTCAAGACTCTTCTCCAGCACCACAACTCAAAGACATCAATTCTTCTGCTGTCATCCTTCGTCATTATCCAGCTCTCTGATGCATAACAAGTAATTGCAAAGAGCATGGCCTGAATCAGGCACACCTTAGTGTCTAGAATGATATATTGTGATTTATAACAATAATAATAATAAAGAATCAAGGGAGATTCATTATTTTTAGATAATATATTGCATTTCCTACCTGCACCAAAACAGCAGTGAAATAGAAAGCAGTTTATGAACATAGGGAACCAGTATTATTTCATAGGCTTTTCTCTCTGCTCCTACTTTTTTCCTTGGCCTGAAAAAAAGGACCTATCAGATCTTCACATAAAGGAAGCCATACCAAGGGGGGAAAGGTTCCTTCAAACTTCAGGATGGAAAAGGTAATACAATTGTTTTCCTCAGTCTTTTGGAACAAAACGTTTATAAATATTTAAAATCTTGGCATCAGAATGAAGACCCAACAAAACTTCTTTCCTTCAACTAATCCTGAGGTGAACCTAGAAGTTTCACTTGAAGCAGCAGACCTAAAAAATCCTATCAAACTACAATTTTGTGTAAATTTTGGGAAAGATGAATTAAAGTCATTTGGAGGTGAACTGCCTTTCCCCAGTAGAACTTGCTATTCTGTAAGAATTGTAGAAATTTATGCATTCTTTGGTGCTCCAATTATGATTTTCTCACCTATGTATTCCACTCAGTGATTGCAGTGTATTGTTGTTTTGTGCCATCAAATCGGGACCAACTAATAGTTGACCCTCCAGTGGATTTTCAGAGCTGTAAATCTCATGGGAGGATTGCCCATCTTTATCCCATGGAGCAGCTGGTGGACTTGAACTGACTATCTTTGGGTTGACAGCTCAACTCCTTACTTACTAAACTACCAGAGTTCCACCTAGTAGGTAAGAACTTGAGCTGAAAACCCAAAGACAGGAAGTTCTAATCCACCAGTGGCTCCATGGGAGAAAGATAAGCAATCTCCTCCTGTAATCAGATGATTCCTCTCTCCAAAGATGGTGTATATTAGGGTCCAGTAAGAGTGCATTGAATTTATCTAAAGCCTTCTCAAGCCAACAATGAAGCACATAAAGGGAGAATTCTTGCAATATATTACAAAAAAAGAATACAGTTTTCTTAGTAACAAACTTAAAAAGCTGACTTAACAGAAAGTCCTTCTGCCTGGTGTTTGGGTCTGGAGCATAATTGATAGAAAAGCCATCGTTAATGAGTAGGGCTGTGTCTGATGAAGGTGCCCTTGTAGGGCAGGGTTGCATTTTTCCTTCATTCTCAGAAGTTTCCGTGCAGCCAGCCTCCTCCACCCAGTGTGCCTCTCCTTGGCCAAGCATGTTGGATTGTGATAGTTTAAACATCTGTTTAAAGCATCTAGTCTGACACACTACCTGTGCTACTTTCAGCTGCGTTTCCGATGACTCAGTAAAGCAGTACACGTCTCGGGATCACCTAGCGAAACACTTCCAGGTTCCTGTCTTCAAGTTCGTGGGCAAGGACCACAAGGTGAGCAGAACCCTTTGACCTGTAGCCCTCAGACCTGAACTTTCCTTCTTGATGCCTCAGTGAGTTGACATTCTAAGACCTCAAGGCTGAAACCAGAATTGCTTCTGTGAAAAAGACTGAAAAACTGTTCATCAAGAAGCTTATCAACTTCAGTAATATCTTAATCATCTGCCCTCAATGAAATAGCCAAGAGTGTTCAAGAGTATTATTAAATGATCATAAGTTAAATCCTGGTGAGTAGGTTGAAAAGCCAGTATAGACACACAGCAAAGGATACAGACAGAAAAAAATAATGGAAAAGATAAATGTTCTTTCATTGAATAGAAAATGTTCAATGGCAATAGTACTTAAAAAGCCAGTTCATGATAAGACACCATTTAATATGTATTGTTGTTGTTATGTACCATCCAGTCAGAACTGATCCTCAGCTGACCCTCCCATGAGTTTTCAGAGATAGTTAATCACATGGGAGGAGATTGCCCATCCTTTTCCCACAGAGGAACTGGTAAGATTCGGATCTAGCGTGCTTTCGGGATTGCAGTGCAGCTTCTTGCCACTAGGCCACCAGAGCTCCCTTGTGTATTAAATGTGTATTAAGCTTCTAAAAATGATAAATTATGATACTTGCAAGGTTATATAAGATAACTTATATAGAAGAAGTGTAAATGCTTTTCCCAAAATTTGTCTTTATTATTGTTATGTCCCATTGGGTCAGAACCAACTTGAAGCTGAACCTCTATTGAGCCATTAGTTTTAAGCACTTAGTTTTGAATTGCATGGGAAGAGATTGCCCGTCTTTCTCTTGAGGAACAGCGAGGGGATTTGAACTATGTGTCTTTGGGTTGACAGTGCAACACCTTACCCACTAGACCACCAGAACTCCCTTGTGTTGATTTATTAGCAGTCTTTAAAATAGGAAGAGGGGCAAACAGATATCAAAAAGCTATCCCTTCAAAGGCTCTTCTTATGAGGTAGACTTGGAGGTTTTGTTGTTTTTGGTATAGTTGTTGAAGCATTTAGAAAAAAAGACCAATTGAGGCCAATATCCTTTTCTATACTGATTACCTGTATCTGTGTTCTTTCTATCTACATTACCATTCCAGAACAGCTGCTAAAAGTGGCAACTCAGCCTCATATCCCTCCCCAACTCAACAGCACGCTTTGGGTAGTTATTTACAGAAACATAGTTAGAGAAAGAACATGTCATCTTACAAGAGAATTGTGTGGGAGCCAATATTCTTCACAGATCTTGATGTAAAGAATGAAAATGTCTGTTGTTGTTGTTGTTAAGTGCCATCGAGTTGTAGGTGACTCATAGCGACCCTATGAAAGAATGACCTGGACACCTGTATCTTTCGTCATTTCTCCAGGTTCATAGGGTTTCCAGAGGCAAGCTATTACAGAAGAGGAAAATGTTTAACAGTATTAAATATTGTTCTCACAAAGATGTCTCCAAATGAACACAGACATTACAATAGCCCATATGACCTGAATTCCAATGTTATTGCTTTACTTTTGTTATGTGCTATTGAATCAGAATCAACTCGTAACTGACTCTCCAAAAATCCTTTAACTTTTCCAAGCCTTCATTTTCTCACCTATAAAATATGTTTCGTGGCTAACCCCATTAATTTCAAAGAATTGTTGATAAGATTAAAAGATATGACTCATTTAGTACAGTGCATGGCTTTTAAAGTCCTTGACAAGTGCAAGATGTTCCTGTTTTTATTAATTATCGTTGTCATCTTCCCAGGAAGTATTTCTGCACTGCCGGGTTCTCGTCTGTGGAATTCTGGATGAGCAGTCCCGCTGTGCTCAGGGCTGCCACCGCCGAATGCGTCGGGGCCTGGCAGAAGGAGAGGGCACAGCAGGTCTGCAGAGCCAGGTGTTGACAGGCGGTCCCATCATCATTGACTGGGAGGACTCGTGAACACACACCTTGATCCTGGCCCGAGGGCAGGTCTTCTCTGCGGACTCTCTCCCCTGATCTGTAAGAACATCAGTCAACGTCCTAGAAATGTCTACTTTCTGTAATCCTCCTGCTGTGAATTTAGACAAACTGACTCTAGTCCGTACAGCTGACAACAGTCCCAGTACTGCTGAATGGTGAGGCTTGAATGGGACTTTATCATTCTCATGCTGAAAGCTAAGCTATGTACACAGAAGCTCACCCGGTCTTCCCCTTTTTTTCCTACTGTAAAACACCCATCATGGATGATGCAGTAGGAATACAAGACTCCGAATTGTGTACAAGATTTCATTTTAGAAATAACTCTTTAAAAATTCAGTATAGTGTAGCTTTTAGTTATAAATAAAATATTTCATCACTTTTTAAGTAGTAAGTAATAGCCATTTCCAGAATTTTAATTCAAATACAGAATAATTGTGGAGGGATTGGAAATTTATCGATGTGTATTTTAAGAAACTGGTTTTTCTCTTGACCAGTATTTTCTCTTGATATTTTCATTACCATAGTGAAATGTTTTTTACTTAACAACTGCTAATAAATTTATTAATATCAATTTAATTGAATGAACTGTAAACAAAATTAAAGTTTGGTGCTATAGGACAAGAAAAAGGCATAAAGTTATATCATTCTATATTTTGAAGAAGCTTAATTTCCTTGAAATAAATATAATAAACTACAGAGATAATTTTCGTCTGCAGTTAATTTCCATTTTTAAGATGCTAATTAATTTTATGGCTTTACATAAGGTCAGAAAATAGTTTTTTCTTCTTTCCTCTTTAAAAAATGGTTAAATCAAGAATCTTAAAGAACCAGTGACATTAACAAATGGAAGTGAAAGGAGAAATGAATTATCGAGCAAATGATCTAAACTTTCTCATAAGGTGCCTATTGGTGGAAATAAATTCTACCATTGCAATATGCCAACAGCCACAATCAATACATAAGTATCAACAAGAGTGGCTGTGTTCCAATAAAACTTTATTTTAAAAAAGCCATTAGGCTAGATTTAGCTCACGGGGTATAGTTTGCTAACCCCTGCTCTAGATTAGTGGTCCTTAGTCCACTCAATGCATTAGACTCAACTGGGGGATGTTTATAAAATTTCAATCTATGGGCACCACAAGGAGTTCTCGTAATGTAGTGTGTTACGTGTTGGGCAGCAGTTCCAATACACCAATTGATCCTCAAGAGAAAGATGAGAAATCTTCTCATAAAGACTGACAGCCTCACAAATCCATGTAAAGTCATTATGAGTTGAAATTTACTCAGTGGCATGGACTTTTCGGTATGTAGGTACCAAAGAGTAGTTTGTGGTGCCGAAGGTTAAACATTGGCCAAGAGGTAGGTGGTTCAGGCCCACGAGATGCTCCACAGAAAAAAGACGAGACTGTGTGATCCCACAAAGAATTCCAGAAACACTACATAACATGGACATATCTAGAGGAAATTGTACTAAGTTTATTAAGTCACAAAAGGAAAATACTGCATAAGACCACTATTATTAAAAGCTAAAGGAAGATGTAAGCACAGGAAAAGCCATCATTCTTGAATGAAAATGTGAAGATGTGAGACCTTTTGGTTAGCAGTAAAACATGCTCCAGACGAGGCCACCAGAGCTCTCGCCAGTGGAAGAAGGAAAAAGTCCAGCCTTAAAAACCCTTCAGGGAAGTTCTGTTCTATCTAACAAAGTTACTATGCATTGGAATCAATGCCACAGCAGTGGATTTCAGATTTTTGTTTGTAAAACAAAGTAGGCATCCACCCCGTACAGTCACTTTCGGGTTATTTTTTTGGTAAATAGGTTTAATTACAAAGCTCATATACGTTGTTTTTCACACTATTCTTTATTCACATTGTGTCTCATACAATCATTCTCATGAATTATGTTTTATAAAATTAATCACCACAGGACCTTGCCCCTCATTACCATGTCTTTCCAAGCTTCTCAGATGAGTCTAATCTGCAGCCAGGGCTCAGAACTGTCATTTAAAAACAAATAGCCATTTGTCGTTGACTTGCCTCTGATTGCAGGGTCTTTTCTTAGCTGTAAGGAGTCCTGGTGGTATAGTGCATTGCATGCTGGGCGGCAAAACTAAAGGGTGGTGGGTCAAGTCCACCAACAGTTCTGTGGTAGAAAAATAGGCAGTTTCCTCCTACAAAGATTTACAGCCTCAGAAGGAGGGCTGTTAGGCATCAAAATCAACTCGAAGGCAATTGGTTTGGCCGATTCCTTCTGTAAGAGCTCTGGTGATGTTGAAATGAAGACATCCTGCTACTAACTAAGGGGCAGCACCCCCTGCTCTGTGGGCAGCAGATGAGGCCGTCCGCATCTGTAGAGATGTACAAGCTTGGGATGCATCCGATAGCACTGAGGTTGGGTTGAGTCCCTGTTTATCTCTGCTGACAGCACTTATAAAGTGCTTCTCATAGCTTAACATGAACTTAGCTACTTAGTGAAGTATGTGGCTGAAGGAAGAAATGAATCTTCTGGGGCCCAATTCCACCTGACCTTCACCTCCATTGGTCTTAATGGGCGAGACCCCTGACTCTGCCCACCTGTTTTTTTATCTCCTAAGTATTAGCGGGAATAATTATATTACTGGTGAAATTGACAAAAGTTCTTTCTATTTCCATCGAACTTAAATGGAAACATAATGCTGGTAATTAAATTCATCACTTTTCAAATTTTCTAAAAAGTACACTTTATTAAACGTGATATGTTTACAAGCAACTGACAGTGGACCAGAGGAAAGCCATTGCCTCCCAGTGGCTGGTTTCCCCAAAATTTCACTCATGAATATGATGGTCAAGTCCAAGAATCTCAGGGACTGCTTGTGTTTTAGCCTTTAAGCTAAGAACTGGTTTTCCAGTCAAGTGTCTCTTCACTGGGGAGACTAGTGGTAAATAAAAAGTAGCTTTCAAATCCCTCCATGCCTTTCTTCCAATTCTCCTTGAAGGACATGACTCGGTTTTAACACAGAATAATATTTCCTTCCTTCTGCATTGTGATATTCAGTATTCAGTAGGTGGAAGAAAGAAGAGGACACATCTGCCACCGGCCGTGGTCTGTCCGTCCCAAACTAGGAAGGAATCGCCTCTCCCTCACAGCTCTTCTTTTTCTTCCTCTGCACAGATGCAGGCTGCCCGCTGGCTATTCATAAAGGGGCGGCAGCCCAAGGTCCATACAGTATTGAAAACAGTATCAACCAGTGAATCGCAGGCTGCTTGAAAAAGAGAGAAATAGGAAAGTTAATACATGAGACCACTCCAAGTAGTATGAATAATGCTGAAGAGGCAAGAATAATAGGCACCCAAAGGAAATTGGAGGCAATAATCCAGTAACCAATAATCCAAATATGGAATTTTTTAAAAAGCAAGCATACATTTAAATTTGGGGAGATGATCTCATTTGGACCAGTAAAGAAGAAAAACCTTTGGAATGCCCAGGTCACATCCATAGTTGTTGTTGTTGTTATGTGCCGTTGAGTCGTTTGCGACTCATAGCGACCCTATGTACAACAGCCCTAAACCCTGCTCTATCCT